CTGCTTATGCTCTGCTTGGAGCGAAAACCTAGTGGCAGCCCTGACGCGGCACTTCGATAGTGACGCTTTTGAAGCGCTCTGTGTTGCTCAGTGTCTGTAGCCCAGAAGAGCAAACGCTGAGCCCAGAGCTGTCCTGCTGAAATTGGCTGCTGAGGCCTCACTCTCTTTTTCCCTCCAGGTATACATCCCCAGACTTCCTCTATATTCGTTCGTGGCTCCCGTGTATATTTTTCTCAGGAGGTGTCACAGTGGGAAACATAGGACGGCAGTTAGCCATGGTAAGTGACCCGACCGCTGCCTGCGCGCGCGCACGTGCACACGCTCACACACCCATGTGCTTCGTCCAGTGGTGTATCTGGACGCTGCCTCCGGGGCTGTGTGGACATCTCACCGACCGTGTCTGCTGCTTACGGGAGCGAGCAGACCTGAGCAAAGCGTAGTAGTAAAGAGGCAGCAGTGCGCTGCTGATTGCCTGCTAAGTTATAACAGTTTGTAGGTTTCTACACTCACAGTCTGTGCTGACAGCAGCTGGAGTTCTCAGACAGCCCTGCTCTACAGCTGTGGCCCGGGCCTCCCTGAGCTTGCAGGCCTCGTGAAGCAAGCAGCAGCAGCAGACAGCTCCTGAGCGGCGGGAGCCAGCAGCCTCCTCACGCCAGGGACCCGGATAACCTGGGAAATGGTGCTTTGCTCCCAGCTGGGTCTCTGGAAGCAGAGGATGCTGGGAGGCCCGCCTTCTGCTGCAGGTGCCCCCATCCTGGCCAGGGGACAGCATGGGTCAGCAAGCAGTGCCCTTCGGGGGCATGTGGCCCTGCGTGTAGGGACGGATCCTCCTGAGGGTCATGGCACGTGGGGGGAGAGAGCAGTCCCTCCTCCCAGGCCACAGCCACATCCTGAGGGGGAGGGGCAAAGGAGAAGGGCAAGTGCTAGTGGTTCTGTTCCGTGGGCAGGAGTGCTCATTTGTGCGCTTTCATTTTACAGCAAACGCACACATAGTTATTTCTAGATGACTGACGAAAGGGCTTTTCTTAAAGTGAACTAAGAAAAGCAGAGCCTTTGCCCTCTGAGACAAGCTCACAGCTTCTCAGAACCTCACCTCAGCACTTTTTGCTATATTTAATTTTTTTTAAATCTTTTATTTATTAGGTACAGAGCTTCACTACACAGGTTGTAGGAATCCTCCTGTCAGCTGCCCCAGCACTGGGATTACAGGTGTGCGCCACTGTGCCATTTTGGTGGCCAGCACAGCATGCGTGTGGTTCTGGGGACAGCATGGCATGTGTGCCAGGGATCGAAGCCAGGTCCGTGTGCTTGTTACAGGCACCTCACCTGCTGAGCTACCTCCAGCCTTTCGTACTGTTCTGTGAGCGGCACGACTGTGTACGCCACCTGCGTGCACCACCTGCGACGCTCCCCAGGAGCTGAGCTTGAGTGCGCTTGCGCCGTTTCTGAGGCTGGGAGCTGGAAGGCACTCGCTGGCTTCTGAGTCTTAAGCCCCTTTTTCATCTGCTCCTGTTAGTTCCCTACAGATCTGCTGCCCATGCTAGAGCCACTAGTGAAAAGAACTGTTGCTCGTGTCCCTGCTGGAGAATCTAAGGATTCGCTCCGGTGCGCTGCAGCTCTCTGTGGCACGTGGTCTCACGTGAAGATTGGTGCTGTGTGCGCGTCCCGTCACAGCCCCTAGTAGCACGTCCCGCTTATTCTTAGAGCTGAGGACTCCAGCGTTGTTATTGCTTAGTCTGTGCGTGTGTCTTGTTGGCTTGTGGTTGCCATACAGAGGCGGGACCCAGGAGTGCTCTGCTGCCGAGTGATGTTGTGTCTCTCCTCATTTGAGAGAGGGCCTAGCGGTGGGCCCAGCTGCTCCCAAGGTGTGGCCCTCCTGCCTCACCTGCAAGTAGCTGAGGCTGCAGCGCAGCTGCTGAGAGTTCTGTGGCAGAATTTTCTGTGAGGCATTCCGGAGCACAGTAGCCTCACCCGGCCTAGCTGGCCTGCAGCTGATGGCAGTGGAGGTGGCCCTGTGGGGGGTGCGCCCACGTTGCTGCGTGCTCGCGGCAGGCGCTCCTGAGGTGCTTTAGGAGATGCAGTGATGATTGTTTCTTTTTTAAAAAGAATATAAGACAGTAAAAAAAAAAAAAATTAGAAGTGATACAGAATTTCACTAAAGTAATAGGAATACGTCAGTGATTAGTATATTGCTTGTTGTTGTCTTTACATTAGTTAGTTGTTCAGATTACCAAATATAAGCATGCAAAATTGATCCCAAAAAAGCTGTAAACGATTACAAAGGAGATAGAAAAACCTATAAGCACTAACTGTTCTGGATAGGCTGGGAGAAGTCAGCAGTACAGTTACCCAGACTGTCCCAGGTGCACGCGTGCGTGTTTCTTTTCCTTTACTTCTCTCCTTTCCCTCAGTGATTTGAGTAGAGGCAGAGATTTCACAGCGGGCCTGAGTTCTGAATACCCAGAAGGGCTAGAAGCAGCCCTTCTGGAAGAGCCGAATGAGAGCGGAGCTTTTCCTGGGTGCCCACGGGCCTCCTGCTCCTCTCTACCTGGGCTTTCCTTGGCTCTTGTGGCCCTTCCCTCAGGAAGGAGCAGGGCCACTTGCGAGGACGGCGTCTGTGCAGCGCTGACACTGCTGTCCCCTCGGTTCAGCTGCTGGGTGCAGCGCCGATGCTGCTGTCCCCTCAGCTCCTTGCAGGCTTCTTGCTCTCCCTGCTTGCCATTGTCCTTTAGGTACAGATGAAGCCAGAGCCTTGCCGTGGGCTTGTGTAATGAAAAGAAAGTAAAGGGTCTCCAGCTGCCATTTATAAGCTTTGAAGCCAGTGCACATCAGGCTGGTGACAGCTATCAGTGTGTGACTGGCTCCACTGTTGTCGATTGACCTGCTCAGCCACCATTGGGAACAGCTGTGTCTTGTGATGGCTCACGTGGGCTGAGCCCATGCAGCTGTCCACAGGATGTGCGTTGCTCACTGTAGAGCTCCGTGCCGTGGCCCGCTCAGGTAGAAACTGCTGTTAGGCCATTTTAAATGGGGAGGGTCGCTTTGCCCAGGCAGGTGGATTTGAGCCAGTCTCGCCCTTAGCGTACCTTACTGCCCTGGCGTGCAGCTCCTACCGGTCACGCAGCCTCCATCGAGGTTGTGGAAGTCTGTGGGTGGTGCTTCTCACTGGGGTTGGCTGTGTTGTTGCACAGCACAGACCTGACTCCAGGGTGCGAGGCCTGTAGGCTCCTGGCAATCTACCTGTCCCAGTTGTAGTGCATCGGCAGCAGGTAGTCAGCTCTGATGAGCAGGCCTATCTGCAGGCAACGGGCAGACGTGCCCACCTGCTGTCCCATGGCCACGGGCAAGCCTTCCTTGTGCTCACGCTGAGCACCCCTTGTTCTCACAAGTGAGTGTGAGTCCCAGGAGATCCTCCCTGGTGTCCTTAGCTTTGCAGAGCACCTGGTGACTCTGCCAGGACTCCATTCCTTACTGATCTGTTTGGAAAAGACAGCTTGTGGTTTTGGGAGTGATGGCCCTAGGGCTGAGGACGCTCACTTCGAAGCTGCCTGCCTGGGTGGAGGAGGTGGTATGCAGGCTCTGGAAGGGGTGCCTTGGGAGACGCACCTCAGCCTCTAGGACTGCTGGGCCCTGCACCTGGGCTGCGGGGAGGACCACGGGGGAAGGGGCAGCGCAGTGACTAGCCACATTTGGCCACCTGAGCCAGCCCATGCTGCAGGTGGGGCGTGGGTGGAGACCCCTCCTTCACAGGCCAGGCAGCTGGAAGCTGCACAGCAGAGCTTTTGGTTCTTGTTCTGCCACAGGGATCACTGCTGGGACACACGGCAAAGCGCCCTGATGGGTGCTGCCGCCCTGCTCAGGTTTCGGGTCTCCATGTTCCTCCTCTGTCTCACATTTTCTCCACTCCCCCAAATCCTCATCCTTCAAAAGCCTCTTAGGACCTTCTCTCCTGACATTGCAAGTATTTGTGCCCTCGGCACTAATTTTGCTTTCTTCTTTTGCCATGTAGGGCGTTCCTGAGAAGCCCCACAGTGACTGAACTTTCGATCCCACTGATGCTGAGGAAAAAGGAACCAGATTTGGGAAGGATTCTGGGATGGTGGGTTGTGACGAAGATGATCTTTCTCCTGAATACTCTATTTAGATTGGGCTGACTGTACACGACTCTGGAAGGAATGGCCACCTAGAAATGTCTAGAATAGCGAAGTGGAGACAGTGTTTACCTTGAAGTCCAAGTGTGGCCAAGCATGAGTGCCCACCGTGCCCTGGAGCGCCCTGTCCCAGGCTGTGTGGGCACCAGCAGGGGCAGCATCCCAAGTATTAGATGACATTCCTGTTATTAAAAACAAGTTGCCATATTTGAAAGCCTTGAACTAAAACTCAATTACCAGCTCCCAGCTTTGTGCCAGTGCCCAGAGGGAGCGGCTGACGGCGCTCACTGACGATGAAGTGGGTGTGATAGGAATCGTTATCCAAAAACTTTCAACAATAGGGTTGTGTAAAGAAACAGGAAAACAGCCAGTGTAGGAAGGTGCACTCCGAGGGGGTCCCGCTGGCACAGCTCACGGTCACACTCACTTTGGTGGCAGAGTGCACACCGTGCCGTCACGTGTGCATGCATGCGTGTCACCAGGAAGCAGGCCACACGTTGCACCTGGCCAGAGGAACTTGTGTAGACAATCTTACGAGAGCAAGGGCAGCGGAAAGTCACGAGCCCCCTGAGACCGTGGCGCGCTCGCCTCGGCTTGTGCGCGTCGTCCAGAGCCTCTGGTCACCTGCGTGGGCAACCGTCTGCCATGCATTGTAGTATCTGAGCCAAACTTGTCTCTCTGTGACTCCAGAGTGGAGAGGACTGTTCTCCACAGCCCTGTGGAGCTTGCAATCTGTGATTGCCGTGTGCGAAGAGTGCGCGAGTCACCACGGTGCCGCGTGATGCGCCAAGCGTCCGACGGTGGTGAGCACCGTGTATTCACTGAATGGCGCAGGCTGTGCCGGACCTCATTTGCAGGTGTTGGGTCTTAAACTTCAAGTGCAATGTACACGAAAACCAATCTGAGCCTTGTGTCCTCTTAAATATTTATTTTTCATTAACGTCTGCGATGCTCCAGAGCAGGGTTCTCCACTCATTTCAGCGCGGGGAGGCAGGTCACTGGCACAGCTCACAGTCCCTCCCACCAGCCCTCCGCCGAGCCCAGGGCGGCTCACGTGCTCCAGTTTGGGACTTAGCCATTTTTTACTTAAATTTGCCTTTTTTTTTTTTTTTTTTTTTCAATTTAAATGTTTTGGGTTCATGTTAAATGGATGCAAAGACTCTTGGAACAGAAGCCACCTGGGAGCAGGGTGGAGATGTGGGGCAGCCCTCGCCACCAACCGCTCTGTGGCTTCCGTGCAGGGCGGCTTTGCTTCATTTTGAGAATGTCCTGGAGGGCATCTCAGGCTTCCGAAGCTGACTTGTTTTAGAGAAGTCTTATCTAAACATAGATGGGCTGTCCTGAACTTTGGGATGGTCCCTTACGCATTTTCTGAAAATGAACAGTGATCGCCAGTGTGAAAGTATTTTTCAGTGAAAATGTCAGCCTCTGTGGAGGCTGGAGGTTCCCTTTGAAAGCAGCTCGAGAATCGTCCAGATGTGATCAGGCACGAGCAGTGTGTGCTTTTCTCTTAAACTGGAAATAAATCTGTATCTGTTAGAAAAACACAGCCAAAAAATGTGAATCTGAAGTTTTTGCCAATAGTCCATAGCAGATGTATTGAACCAAAGTGATTTGAGTTTGTAAAAATGTAAAATAGTCTGAGCAAAACTTGCACTGCCCCAGATTTGAGCATCCAGTGAGGTTCACATTCATGCTAAGTTTTCAACATTGTGTTCTTTTTGCGTTCATTTTTTACTTTTATTAAAGGTTGAAAACCAACTGTTGTATTTATGGGTTTTTCTTTTTTCAAGGGTGGGGCTTGGTACCCTCTGCACAGGAGGCCAGAGTTTGTCATGGGAAGGCCCACAGTAGCACTCCAGGGGGATGGAGGACTGCGGTGGAAGCTGCATGGAGCCCTGCGCCTTGGACTTGGGCAGGGCAAGTTTGTGTCCCTAGGGTCTCCCTCCCTCACCTGGGGGCTCACTCCCATGGGTGTCTGTGATCACCAGCCACATGCATTCCCAGAGTGCCCTAGCCATACTCAAGACAGCATTCATTTGTTCATTTATTTATTGGTGGCCACTTCAGTCTGCCCTGGGGGACAGGGCTGGCCCAGCTTGTAGTGCTGGGGACTGAACTGCGGTTCCTGTGCTTACCTAAGCAGGTGCTGTAGCCCACTGAGCTATCTTGCTGGCCCCTCAAGAGAGCTCTTCAAAGTTGTAGTTGTACTTTTGAAAATTAGTATTAAAACCCTAAAAGCAAAAGGCTTTACCTGTACCTCATACAACATATCCACCCAGTGGGTCCCTACACGTTCACAGCTCTTCTGTTCCTTTGGTGGTGCTGGGAATGCACCCAGGGCCAGTGAGTGCTGCGAGGAAGGCCCTCAGCACTGACCACTGGCCACACCCGGCCCTGGCCCTGCGCACTGACCGCACGGGCCATGCCCCCAGGTGGACCGAGGCAACGCGATGAACTCCCTGTGTGCCCAGCCCACCGAGACCCCCTGTGGGCAAGTCAAAAGCCCCCTAGAACTCTGAGCAAATGACTGAATGAAGCCATTTGATTAAGGACAAGGTATGAGATTCCTACTTCTCCAGCTGTGTGGGCCAGACGAGTAAATAAACTCAAGGGCAAAGTCACCCGTGATCTTCCGAAAGGAATGTTTTTGGCAAGTTTGAAAGGCTGCACCGAGCATTATCGGATCACCAGGAGACCAGGCACCACCCTGGTGCCCTTGGACCATGACCATTGCCTGCATTTTGGTGGAAAGAAATGTGAGGCGTGACCTTTTCAATGTTCTGTTTCCACCACCGGCCCTTGCCTCCCCTCCCCCAGAAAGGACTGTCGTAAATCCAAACTGCTTTCTCTCATTTCACACAGAATCAACCTGTGGCGAGGCAAGTTCAGTCCTGCAGTTCATCTTCTCTGCAGTGGCCCGCTACACAGCAGATGGGGCCTTCAAGCCAATCCTGTACCACCGAGCAGGTCGGGGTCTGGCCTGAGTGGTCACCCTGGGGCCTGTGGGCGTGAGGCAGCCATGAAAGGTTCTGCGTTGACCCCCAGTGCAGGCCCAGCACAGCCAGAAAGAAGGAAAGGAAAGGGGTCTTCAAGGAGCTCTGAGTGCTAGCACCTAACTCGGGCTCTGGTTGTTCTGTCCGTGTCCCTGAACTCAGGCCCCCAGTCTCTTAAGGATGGCACCTGGCCCACGACGAGTTCTTGGAAATGCCGCTTTCCCTTTGTCCCCAAGTTGTCTCTGGAAAGCATGAATGTCCTGAGGCAGCGCCACACAGGATGGAGCAGAAAGGTCAGACAGCCACGGAGCCGCAGCTCCTCTACCGGCGCCCCTTCGAGATTCTTCTGTTCTCCACCTTTGACTAACAGCCCTGCTGTCCGCGCTGAGTGATTCCATGCAAAGCATGGCCTCGCAGGTCCCTCCACAGAGGGATTTATCACTAGAGCCCAGATCCTCCCACCTTCTGTCTTCTCTGGGCAAGCTTCTTTAAATTCCTGCAGTTGGTTCCTGTTTGCCCAGAACATCATTGGCTGCTCTTCACCAGGTCAGACCTGCCCCTGCTGTAGTCTGCCCAAGAAACTATGTCAGCTACCACTCCAGTTCAGAGGTGTCTACAGGATTCAACCCCAAGATGCAGGAGGCGGTGCCCGACCACAGGGTCGGCTGCCAGTCCAGCCAGTGCTGCTGAAGGGATTTGAACGAATGAACTCTGCATTCAACTGGCCTGTGTATCTGTAAGCCTGCTGCACGCAGAGCAGGTGGTCTGGTGACAGCAGCCTGCTCATCCCTTTTATCATGTCCCAGGATGAGAGAGGGACCAGATCCCAGGGTTGACCGGTCCCCTGGCACAGACAGCTGTGGACCACAGCACAGCGCTGCTCCGCCCTTGCTGCAGGCGAGGACCAAACACTGGGCCTGTTCCCTGAGCAGGGTTGTGTTTGCTTTGGGCAGCCTTGGCCTTCTGCCTTGCTGCCCCAAGGCCCAGCCTCTGCCTGGCTGCCAGAATGTGGGGCATCTTTTGTGGATGTGGAGGGTGGTGCCCTGCTGATGCTGGCCCATAGATGTGAGAACCCCCCACCTACTTGCCCTTCTGTGTGCATACCTGTGCTTTTGACACTGCGAGTTTTGACAGGTGATGCCTTGCTGCCTGTCCTCTCATGCCCAGGGGCCTGTGGCACGTTGACATCCTCTTTGGCCCTGGTCCACATCAGGCATGATAGGGTAGGCTGAGTGTGAGCAGGTTGGCTATAAGCAGAAACTGGAGGGGAGGAGGCAGCGACATGACACGTCTTTCTCCTGGTGAGTTTTACCGTGCCTGGTGCGAGTTGGGCAGGACAGCCACGCAGGTGCCATCGGGCCAAGCCTGCTCCAGGGCACAGTGGGACATCCAGCAGCCTCAGGAGCCATCTGAAGAAAGGCCAGCGTGCCAACTGATCATTGCAAGAGCGCCACAGCGTTTCACCCAACAGAGCACAGTGCAGTCCGTGACCTGCAGCAGAGGTGGAAATAGGCTTTAGCTCCCTGGGAACTCAGGCACATGGAGAAGCTTCCCGGTGGCTTCTCGGCCAGGAGACTTGCACTCCGTACGGCCTGCACAGTCATTCGGTTGTTCCTCGTGAACATGAGGGAGATCATGCTGTTGAACACGCGGCACATGGAGTTACTCTGGGCACGGGGCTCCCAGGGCCTGCCAAATTGGTTCTGATCTGGGAAAGTGCGAGGACCAGCTTGATGCAGTGCAGGCCAGGCAATAATATTAATTAATTGGAATGAAAATAAATTGAGTCTTTCTTAGGCCTACATGACTTGTGGCGAGACCCCTGGCTGGGTTAAGGACAGATTTGTCTTCAACTCAAGGCCAGAGCTGAGGATGGCATCCAGTCTGTGAAAGTTCTGGTGCCTCAAAACTAGATGACACACAGCCTAGGACTGTGCAAATTCCATCTAGCACACAGTAAGATTGTTAGCCTTGATCTGCTCCTGTGTGCTTCT